TACGATACATATAGTATTTTAGATGACGGCTTCATTATTTCCACTGAATAATTTGAAATGCTACAAGGAGAAATATTGATGTCAAACTGGTAATTGTCATTAAATATGCAGCATTTTTGCAGCAGTCATTTGTGCAAAAAATAAATTTTCTGAACTTGTAGGTAACAGTGCAGAACCATCTGAAGAGCAATCTTAAAGCCTTTCCCTGCTGCAGAGGCTGCTCAGGGCCAGAGCTCCACGTGCGGATGCAAACATGAAATCCTCAAACAAATTTTTCAAATTCTCCTTTTTAAAAATGAAAACAGTATTGTGGTGTCCACTCAATTCGTTGACCTTTCCATTCCTACTGCCTAACAGGTTTTGTGTTTTTGTTGCTTTAGTCATCTAATGTCCTGTGAACATTCCCTGTGATGCAGTACTTCCGCTGCCAAGCCAGGAGGGACAGCTGTGCTGGTGGAATTACCGGGGTCACGGGATGGGAGGATGCAGGTCACTGGGAAGAAAGAGAATATTGCTCTGAATCTGGGATTTCAGTGAGGTGTCCTGTAAAGTAGACGGATGAGGTTTAATATTGAACTGAATCAGAATGAAGTGTTACAGTTATTCTGAACCTTGCTGTGAAATACTTTATTCAAGACTATGGAAGTGGCTACTTCTTCTAGAATGGAAAAGACAATAAGAAAAAGAAAGGAAAAATTAAGCTCTTTATTTCAAATAGTGCTTTATGTTGCTCCTTGTTTTGTTTCTCCTATTGGGGAGAATTTCATTTGCTTTTAAGATGAACCAAAAATTCCACTCAGTGTTTTATTTCTCCATGTAGTTTCTTGGTTAAGTTTCTTTGTTAAGTTACCTTGTTAAGTAATTCAAATAAGAGACCCGTGCATTTGGTAATTTTATTAACAAATGTATTTGCAAAAATGCTTTGCTACTCTTTTCTTTCATAATTATTACACCCTGACTGTGGAAGGCAAGGGATTCAATCTTTACTATATTGAGAATATTATCTGTTGAACGGCTGTGGTGATCATGGCTAGCACGAATCAATTAACAGCTGTAGCCCATAAAATGCAAGCATAAGTTCGGTTTTACAGCTAGTGCTTTCCAAGTGCAGTTTTATTAGCAGAGGTTGGTTGTGGTTTCCACGTGGATAGAAAGAGTTTCCCAAGGTTCACCCCAGTCCGAGTCCCACTGAACTGCCACCTGTGTGTCCTCAGCATTAGGATAAATCCCTAAGTCGCTCAGTCATCGTCCTCACCAGTCCGCTTGTTGTATCTGAGTAATGGCTGGAGCTTTGTGCTGCTCAGTATTACGGCAGAAAAAATACTCTTTGGAGTAAGCACATCTCCCTGAGACTAATTCTGGGCACTTTGCCAGTGTCAAGGGAGAGGAATAAAGATGAAATGAGCAAGTAACACCTGAAGAGAGGCAATGAAGACTGTGGCAATAACCCCTGGGGTAGGATAGTTTGGATGGGTTGGATCCATTCCAAGCTTGTTAGAAGACTCCACAAAACCTAAGACACCCTCCCCACCTTCCCCCCCCACACACCCATTTTTTTTTTTTTCCTTTTGCCTTGGGTGGGTATCTTTACTGATGAACAGTGCTCTAAGTTTATTACAACCTCACAGAAATTTGGGCAGGAACTAGTTTCCTATCAGAGAACTGTTGTGGGCTCTGAATGGGAAAGACCAGGTACCTGAAGAAATACTGCTGTGCTCTGAGCTGCCACTGAGTTTAATTCCTGGTTATTACAAGAATAACTTCACTCCAGTGTCATCCTTTCTTATCTAAAAAACTTGAATAGGGAGCAAATTTGCAGTTGTCATTGTCAGTGCTGTCTCTTCCCCTGTTTTTCTTGAAGGACGAGTGACTCACAAAAACTGGCATCCTTGTCTGCCACCCCACAGCTCTCCATGGCTGATTTCAGAACTTCATCTTGAGGTCTAAACACATACTTGGAGGGGAACTTGTATTGCATTTAGATAATTTAGGTGCTTAAAGCCTTATTTAGCACAGAGAGAAATCTTCCTGTAGAAAGATTATTCAGAAGATCTGCAATAAGAATTACACCTTCAGGGTACTGGGTGGACAATTTGGAAGCTCTGGGGAAGTTAATCTTCCCTGTAAATCTGTGCCAATGCATAAAGCACATTTCAGATGTATCCTGTTCGAGCAGTTTTCATGGAACATGAGAAGTATTATTTTCTTTTGTAATATATGGTAGGCTTCTGAAAATTCTCTGCTGGGCAGATGGTACAGAAGAACGGTGCACCTCTACATTAATGTCAGACAGTAATTAAACCTGAGCACAGTGAGTAGAGCTATAAAGTAAATCAAACCGAGTCTTGAATTATACTTCCATGCACTTGTTGGTAAGCTCTTTATAACAAAACTCAAATATTCATTTCATCGCTGAGGAACTATGAATTGCAGCCTCTGGTTGCAGTGGTGCTGTTGCTGTCACTTGTTATAAATCAAATGTGAAAAGAAATCATGGAAAGAAGTGGAAAGCAGATTTTGCTCCTTTGCCTCACTTTCCCTCAGGGTGATTGCTCCAAAATCTGTGGAATGGGAATTGGGGTATGTAAGTGCATGCTTTTACCTAGGTTCATGAGTGGATGAAGCCACCCCACAGGAAACCTGAATGTTTTGAACCATCTTCCAAGTGGAGTGGTGGGTGCTTGGAGGCAATCTTTGTAAAGTCATAAAGGTATCAGTGTAAGGACTCCCCTGGCTTTCGGCAAGTAGGACTGTCTGTAACGCTATGTCTCTGGCACAATCTGATTTTTGGAAATAATTGTGCCGAGTCCTGAATTCATTGAACTTCATGGAATTCCCTTGCCATAAAGCCCATGGATAATGAAGATAACTTGCACAGGTGGAGGGAAGGGATGCGTGCTTGTAGGACCAATGTCTGTGACAACTCCCCAGGCCATGATCCATCTCATACCTGTCATTGACTGCACACTTCCCTGTGAATGTAAGTGAAGGGAGAGGAGGATGGATGTTTTACAGTACTTCACCAAAGCTTATAATCTCTTGATTTTACTGTACCAATGACTCCTAAAATCAAGCCTGCCCGGGGTACCCTCATGTTATCTGCTGCTATACAGACAAGCTGTCAAAATGTTAGCAGGGCTTTTGACACTGTGATGACTCAAGGGGACTGCTGGAATAAGGCTTACAGGCTTACGTTCTATTTATTTATTTTTTTTGCACTATTTTTCTCTGAAGATAGTTCTCAGCATTATGTGAGCATCCAAAGCAGTGGTGGTGATAACAGGCTAGTTGAAGCAAATGATTGATTAAGCATGGTTTGCACGGGATGCCAAATGCAGTACCAGAATAGGCTCGTGCTGCTCAGGACTTGGGGCTGTCTGCAAAGGGGGTGTTGGTCTTGATTTTGTTATTCAGCAGACTTGCAACAAATAGTGCTAAAATGATTAGGCTTATCAAGCCGTTCCTGATGAACATAGGCAAATGCAAGGAAAAAGGACTATAAAATATTTTTAAACATATTTTGCAGTCTGATTGCCTGCTAGGTTCTCCGTTACTTCTTATAATATGCTTGGAAAGTTTTATTTGTGCCTTGAGGGCGATGAGCCTGTCTTCATTTAGGGATGCAACTGCAGATAATACGCCGGTGCTATTGACAGTTTTATGCAGTCTCGCTAGCAGCCTCCTTCTCTTATTTACTCACCCGTACATGTATTGTCTTGCAAAAGCAATACAGATTTCTATCCTCCTGGTTATAATTGCATCTTGGGCTGCCTCATTACAGGCCCTGTTCCTCTAGAATGAGGTGAAAGAGCCAGTGTTACTGTGCTGTTGCCATTATAAATTTAACATTTTTTTTCCTACATATAATTGAGCTTGCATAGTCATTATGTTTTTTCATAGATCTATAATTAAAGAAACCTCGAAGGAGAGCTTTGTAGCTATTATAAGGGCAAAAGAGGTAGCATTCAATGTGAGCTTGTTGTTTATAAACAGGAAGATTTGAGCCTCCTGAAATTTGGGATTTTAACTGAAAATTCATGAGGGTCCAGAAACACTAAGCAAGAGAACAGTGTAGCAAAGTCAACCATATCTGTTCATTTGAATTATGTTTATTAAACATTGGGTGTAATTCAGTACCATAAGAGGTATGTTTCGTGAATATTTATCAATTATGATGTAACATCTACATAATTAATAAAATTACTGGACATTTCCCTTATTATTTTGAAAGTAGAACTCTATTTTATTTTACTCTTTAAAGCAATAATCCCATGTGTTGTATGCCACATTCCACCCCTCTTGCACACTTTGTTCTGCTGCCTGTTCTGCCAGCTCTTCTTTTGGTTGGTAGGCTTTTCCCTGCCACCCCCAATGTCCTACCTTGTTGAAAGGGATTTTGGAAAGATGTATGCTTCTGGTCCCAGTCTGTTAGTTCATCCCCACTGAAAGTATTTCTTCCTTAGACAAGGCTGGTACAATAGAGCCGTTATATTGGATCTCTTAATGTTTGTGTGAGAAGCACACAGAAATGGTATGTGGTTAGTTCTAGCAAGGTGGCAGGACAATGACCAAAACACCTATCAGATACTTTGTTCTGCAGGAAGAAGAAAACTGTCTTCTGTGGGGGACCTGTGTAAAATTTATATTGTGGAAAATAGGTTCTACAGATGGAGTTCGCTGGAAAATATAGGGCTTCTGATGATAATTGATATTACAGCTTTTTATTGATTATCACATTTCTCAAGCTTGTGTACTTTATAAAGTGGACTGTAGTCACAAAGTTACACATAAAGCTTAAAACACTTTTTTTTTCTCTGAAGAAATAATTTAGATGTTTGTTCAAATATTATACTTCCAAGCCTGAAGCTGAATCCTGCGCTCTTTTGCGGTATATTCCTCCAGTATCAGGCAGACATTTGATATAAAGACAGCCTGGTCGATACAGACCATTGATATTAAAGAAAGTTGAACTTTCCTCTGCTTTGTTTTGTTTGCTCTAGGTGAAGAAGTACCCCATCACTTTTGCTCAGAGTATCCACGTCCTGAAGTCATGGCTTGTGAAATCCCTTGTGCAACAGACTGTGTGATCGGCGAGTGGTCCCAATGGTCCCCGTGCTCCCATTCATGCTCCAGTAAAAATGCCGAGGGTAGTCAAAGCAGGAGTAGGTCCATCTTGGCCCTTCCAGCAGAGGGTGAGTGGTAAATATTTTGGATTAACCACTGTTTGTTTAATGTTTTACTTGTGTTCTTCAGCCAAACTATTTAGATCAGAGCTAATCCCAATACTGAAGGAATGAGAGATAATACATCTTGTCTGTATTTCATGCCTAGCAACTAGCAGATGATCTTTATAGGCTTGAGTCAATCCATGTGTTACTTAGTGAAATTTTGTCATAATTCAAAATTATTTGCTTTAGCCTATGAATTATTATGCATTTTAGGGCCAGATCTGTGGGTGAATTTATTTCAGGAGAGCTACGTCCTATACTAATGAAATCGCAGCATGACATAATCTTATCATGCAAGTGTTTTCATATCAAAACATATTAGTATCAATTTAAAAGAGAACAATGAGCTGTGTAAAACAGGGAAATAGAAAAAGACCTATTCCTTTTATTCATGCAGACCCAAAAAGTATTGGCCTTCCTGTTTGTCTACTGAAATAAGTAAACCGCTCTTGATGAATATACATAATTTCTGCTGGATCTTTGTGGACTCATCATGTACCTGGATTTTAATGTTCCAATATCACAGTGATACGATTTTTACACAAAGTATGTCTTACTAGAATTATAGTCTTCTAACTACAGTCACACGTACAACAATTCGTTTACGTGTTGGTTTATTTCAAAGGATTTGAATAATATCACACTGAGCACATAAAAATTCATAAAACGTGAGCAGGTCGAACAGACTAAAGCCTTGTTGACACAACAGAAAATATCTCCTATTGTCAGCACTATGTGCTGTTAATCCAGCAGCAAAACACTTCAGATGCAAATCTAGTCTAGGACAAGCTCTGTTAAGTGCTGTTTTGTAAATTATCATTAAAACCACCCACTGTTTCTGGGGCAAAGTTAAGGACTTGATCCTGCAAACCCTTGCTCATATGAATGGTCTGTACTCACATAAACATCCTTATAAGCACTTGCAAAGAAAATTGGGACCCTTCAGGATGTAAACTGCTATATAATTGTTGATTGAATGATAATAACTACTACTAAAAAAAGCCTATGAGTTAAAGAATAATTAAATTGAAAAATAAAGTTGGCTTCATATTTTCTGTAGTGGGAACACAATGCAAATGAGAGACTAGCATGGAATTATGAAAGTAGAGCAAAGGCTGATCTATTGCTAGGACTGAAGAAATGAATCCTAGAAATCCATTAGCTCAGTGATCTCAAGAATATGTAGTCTGAACCACACTAAACTAAAAGCAGCAAGCTTTGAACTGAATGTTTCAACCTTCTTAGAAAGGAATAATTAATTAATAAACCAAATACTACAACTTTTTCTAAACATCTTTAGCAAAGCATAAAACGTTTTACCATGTAGAGTCATACAGCTCATCAGAATTTGGGGAGACTGAATTTTAAATGGATTTAATACTGTTATCATTGTAGTACTAAGGTAATGTGTTTTCTGACTCTCTCATACCAAGCTCATAGGGGAGCCACCAACTTCTGTTGAGGTCTGCTAACCATTGCAGATCATATTTCTTTTGTCCTCTATCAGCTGAGACAATGTTGGGCTTGGCTGTGCTCTCAGGACTTCTGGATGCCATCTTGTGGGGTGACCTCAGTTCAAACCCTTTGGTCATTTTCCCCAAGCCGTTCGCAAAATCCCATTATTTGAAACCAGGAGGCAGTTGATGAAACTAGAAGAGGTTGCTTTAAAGTCAAGTTTTAAAAGATATTTCTTAGCACAGCAAACTCCTGAAACTTGGTGCAAAAGGCGAGTGTGGAGGCAGCAATTCTCAGCAGATTTAAAATGGATTAGAGGAACTGATGAACAACAGGTCTATAAAAGGTCCATAAATGTCTTCAAACTGGGCTAAACAGGTGTGTGTTGTCCTGCTTTCCTTGCACAAAAGTTGTGAATGAGCTGCATAAAGTGGCCAGGCTCTTGTGCTTTTGCTGAACAGAATTTCCTGCTGCCACTTTTGCAGGCAGACTGCTAGGCTGAATGAACCATCAGGCATTTCTTATGTTCTGAAATTAAAACTCCCTTATTAGTCTTGTTATTTTAAGAGTTCTTCCTTACTGTGGGTATTTGAAGAAAAGATCATATCATTTTTTCCCTGGGAAGCCCAAATTTTAGGTTAGATATTTTTTCCCCTGTCTAATGGATGAGATATTTTGCCATTTGCTTTTTATTTTCATTTTACTTTTTTTATTTTTCTTTTTTTTGGAAGTGTGCTCAAATACACAAGAGTATATCAAGTCTGCAGTTTTCCCTTCCAAGCAGAAGTTTTTCAGGAAAGTAAGATACCCAGGGGCATTTTCCACTCTATCATTGTACTAAACCTTTCAGAGACTGAACATGATGTGGAACAGTCCATGCTCATGAAAAGAAGAAAAAGAGGACAGTAATGTGGTATAATTATCCAAATCAACATGCTAAGAAATTTCTATCCCTCTATTTTCTCAGTGTTATTGTGGCTGTTTGGGGTCATACCTCATTTGAGAAGGCTCAGTCCTGCAAGGACTTTGAGAAGCAATATGCCTTCATCTCCTGTTGATTTTAGTAGGGCATAAAGGCGCTCTGAGCCTCGTGATATCTGGCCCCAACAATTCAGTTCTTTCAGAAACCTGTAGCTTTAATTTGGATGCCCTTTTGCTGTGTCATAAGTTGCCAGTTTCAGCCTCCTGGAAGAGAATGGTTTTGATTTTAGTCATTTTTACTTCTTTCTTCCTAAAATGACAATGCTTACTGTTACAATTTCACTGCATTACTCTAGCTTTTGAGCTATGAACATCTGCAGCTTTTATGGAATAAATTCAGGCTGCTGGCTGGAGTGTTAAGGCTTCTGGGGAGACTGTTCATACTCCTCTACTTTGTGGATTTCTTACAAGTTGTTGACAAAGTGCAGTATCTTAGCAAAATCTTTGTACACGAATTTGGAGGATGCTGCCTCAGTAAAGAAAAGAAAAGGCTTCAGACTCAAAGTCTTTCAAGTTTTTCCCACTTGATTTGCAGATGTGGGTATCAGTTGGTATTAACAAACCTCCATCAGTATGGGTTAGCTCTCTATACAACTCTGTGGCTATAGTACAAGTATTACTAAGAGATATTCCTCCTTGGGAAATTAGCAAGGAGTATGAGCATAAAAATAATGCTTAATTTGTCTTTAAAGCTAATTGCATGTTTGCTGAGTGATACTGCCATTTAAATGGAATCAACTTGGCTGTGCGTAGGAGTATCAATAAGGTAGCTCAAAAATATGCTTTGCCTATTTCTGTTTCCATTATGTGTTGGAACACAATTTTATGCAAGGCTAGTTTAATGGGGAAACAATATTTTAGAAAGTTGTTATTGCAGCCATAAAGGTCAACAGCTTTATTTAAGTTTTATTTATTTATTTTTAAATGGGAAAAAAAAAGTTAAGTGAACCTATCACATTTATTTTTTTTCCGTGACTTCCTTTTGCCACATGTCATAAGATAAAATATTGTGTTCTTTTGACACTTTGCAGGTGGAAAAGCTTGTCCTCCTGACAGAGTCCTTCAGGAGCATCGTGCCTGCAATGATCACCCATGTGTGCATTTCTACTGGGAGACTTCTCCCTGGAGCTCTTGCTCTGAAGATTCCCTGGTTGCGCTGAATGCAACCTTCAGTTGGAGTGGAGAAGCCACTTGTGGAGTGGGCATACAGACAAGGAAAGTCTCCTGCATGAAGAGTAGTTCTGGACATATTACACCTAAAAGGTATTCAAAGAACAGTCATTAACAGTATACCTTTGTCTGTATAACTCAAGTGATGATTTGTAGTTACGCTACATTAAGTATAAATGCATTTTCAGCTAGAATCATCAGCTTTAGTAATAATTTTATTTCTGGACTAATTCTCTGGCTACTGTGCCATCACTACTATATAAAGTTTACTAATAGGTAGCAAATATGAATAGCTATCTCATTTTTAATTTTTATGTGTAAATCCCCCTCCCCCCCAAATGCATGTTTTTAGTGCCATTGATTTTTTTTATTTTTTATTTTTGCTATTATTCTAATTTACTTTTTTTTTTGCAAATGTTTTTCCTCAAGGACAGGTGTGAAGAAAATACAAAGTGCATCCAGATATAACATTCATGAATGCATTACTAGCAATGCTCTAATGAAATCATAAAAAAATAGTTTGCATTATATTTACACCAAAATGAGAGAAAACAATATATGTGATATATATATATATATAATTCAGTTGATTTATATAACTATTATGATGGGATACCAAGACATCAAAATTATGTATTCTGAAGTTCAAATATTCTGAATTTTGCTTTGCTTTTAGTAAATGAAGAAAATAAGCAGCACAGATGTTTTCCCTAATATCAAAAAATCAAGACACTGCTAATTATTTTTTCCACTGATAATGAGTCTAGAGACTTACAACTGAGTTTCATTTCTTATTGTAGCTCTCAAAACAATCCTGTTGGTATAAACAGACTGTGTTGATTTCAGTAAAGTTAATTAAAATTCTTGAGGTTAATGGGATTAATTAAATAAAAGGGAAGAAATTTAGTACTCATTTATATCTAGAATCTATTGATATGCTGCAACTTTGCCTAATTAAACATATTGTTTATAGAGCTATGTAACATCTAAAATAGTTGTTTGCCCCCTCCACTTTGAGACAGTCTAAGGGGAAATGGAACTGAAAGAGGAAGTAGTCACACTAAGTGTCTGAAGGAAAAAAGTCATACCAGAAGAAAAGATTTGTGTACCAGAGCTTTCAGAAAGGGGCTGTCCTTGGCTTTGGTGTGGTAGCTTCCACACCACAGCATTCCTTATGTGATGGAAATAGCTGTACCAGAGAGGACTTCTGAGTTGCTAAAAGAGCTTCTGACATGCCTCTCTGTATGTTGTTCTTATAGAGATAGTTGCCTTACGAATGAAAACCTTAGACATCTTAAGAAAGACGGTTCTAAATCAAGGGATAAAACCAATACAAACTCGGTGTTTCTCAGTTAAAGCGGTATCTGGTTAATATCCAGGAGGGTCTGGATGGTTGTGGTGCTGCAGGGTAGGGCAGTCCTCCTTGGTGAGGGCACAAGCACTGGGCTGCATGCACTGCCCTTAGAACAGATGCCTGGGGTGAGGGACTCTGTGGGGAACCCAAGCCCTTTGTACCGAAATTGCAAATTGAGGATTACTGAACCAGAGCAAGATATTCTGCTGACATAGTTTATGTTTGAGTTGATGAAAACTGACCTAAAGTAATGTTGCATTTAGAACTGCTGCAGTGAAAGTCTACCGTTATGTGACTTCAGAAATTGGATGTATTATGTAAATTAATAGCCTTTGTATGTTAGCATAGTGATTTTTTTGTATTCTGTATTTTTCTTGATTTCATAAAGAAAAATTACACTGTATCTGAAGAAGGTGCAAGGCACAGAAAGCTGAATAAAACTAGAATTACTGCAAAAATATATTTCAACACCTTACTAACCAGAAACAGAATAGAGATAACAGAATTCTGCCCTCTAGAATAGTCATACTTAATGAGTACAAACGCCTCTCTATATTTATCTTCTTTTAAATTTTACCTGTCAGTATTTTATTACTATCTCAGTAACAGAATCATGACTTTAAAGATTTTTTCTTTCCTAGCTTAGCTTAGTGGCATGTTCCTCTTTCAAATGTGGTCATTTTGGGTTGCATGTATTCCCAAGTATTTTTGAGTGATCTTTCTACTAGAAATTGATAAAAATTAGAAAAGGGTAATTCCCTTTCTCACCACCTACTTGAGGAGCACAATATGCCCGTTTCCAGAAAACTGTCCCTTTTCTACCTTTCTAGTTTTTAAATATTAATTGTCTGTCTGAAGCCTTTATTAGAATATATGCTACATATTATTCATTTAGGAGATAAAAATCAAGAAAAAAAAATCACATTTGTTTTTCCTGTACTATGCTGCACAACTTTCCAAATAACAATCAAGGCCTTAGTTCTGCAGGCTCCTACTGCATAATGGGAAGGGAGCACAAATATGACTTTAAGCTACTTTTGTATTTCCTAGCAGCTTGAAAGTAGAGGACATCGGTCTTTACACACAGTTGCAAGTGTTTGAAGGCTGTTGTATGTTGTGTCAAACAGGACTACCTTCTAAACATAACTACTCATTTGCTTCGGCAATAAATATATCTGTGCTGCTTCAGTGAGCATTGTCTTTTAGGCATCATAGGTAGTGTTACATTTACTCTGCAGTCATCAGACCAAACAACATTATTATTTTTTTTTAAATCTGTGCAAGTGTTCTGAATTCAGTTTGGTAGCATGAGTGTGAAGGGGAATAAAAGTGAGGCCTGTTGTGAGTGGGAGCGATATCTTTGGTGTGGCAATACACTCCTAGCCCTGTGAGACTCTTATGAGATGAACATTTCCCTGCAGATTTGGTGTTTACTGATGGCATGGTATCTTTGCATTTGAACTGATAGATGTCCAGATTCCACCAGACCTGAGACTGTGCGACCATGTCTCCTCCTCTGCAAGAAGGACTGCATCGTTACGCCTTTCAGTGAGTGGACTCGCTGCCCAACAGCATGTCAACCTGGTAAGCCTCTAAAAAGAGAACAAAATTTTGGGCAAACTGTTACGTTCATAGCCACAGGGAATGGAATGATACGGGGGGTGAGGTCTTGAGAAGCACCCAGGCATATGACGTCTGCCTTCACCTCAGAGTTACTACTTGGGTTTGGCAGCTTCCTGGTCTGCAGGATTTCTTCTCAGTTGTATTTTTTGGCAGCAGAAGCTGTTAACAAACCTTGAGCATTTCAGGCAGAGACAGGTGGCTGCCAGTGCAGACAACACCAATTTGGGAAATGCAAACACCAGTGGGCAGGGATACACAAGTGGGTGGAGAGGCAGAAAAGATCTGGAGAGACGCAAACCCTTCTTTTTCCCACTGTGGACTTTCCATCACCTTGTACTTCCTATGGGTGCCTACAAGAGGGACACAAAGGAATTTAAGATTCAGCATCCAAAGCATTGAGGGAGAACTCCTTCAAAGACAGAAGTCTGAGGCCCTGGTGTTGTATGGATATTTGAGGAATTGCTTCATTATATGTAATTTATTTCTCCTGACCAATCCAGATGTATGCACAGGGCTGTGCGAACAACTCTGTGTTTTTTCAAGTACCATATGTTTCTTTGATCTAGTTGGTTAGCTTTTGTATGCTAGGTGTCTAGCAAAGTTACTTTATAATGATCTACTGCTGTTTTTTTTTGTTGTTGTTGTTGTTTTTTTTTTTGTGGCAAATATATGTGTTTCATTAATTGTTCAGATGAAAGTCATCTTAGTTACCAGAGTATTTCCTTTTTCTTGGCAGCTTCCTTGCCCTTCAAAGATTCTCAGTGGATGCTCTAGCATAGTTCTTGTTAGATTTTACAGGAAAATGAGTTGCTTTCTAAAACAGTGAATCCTGTTTTAATTAGCAATTTATTTTTAGACTTTAAATGAGCTGCCTATGAAGAAGTAGAATAAATTACCTGGCAAATTACTTTGTTTATTAAATAATAGTCTACAATTAAAATGAGAAGAAATTAATTATTTAACCTTCTTGGCAGTGTTATCATTTTAATATAATTCTAAATTAAAACTTCTTAGATGGGGGAGTTTGCTTTCTGCTAGATCCATTATTGATATGGCTGCATTGCAAGATCTTCTTTTTTTTAAATTTGCATTGCACAATTAAAACCTCAGCATGATAATGAAATTTTGAAACCGCTATACGTATGTGAGTTGTTTGGGGTTTTGTTGTTTTATAGAAAAGTTGTATTTAATGAAAACAACATACAGATGGTGAATTACTAAGCACATCAAGCTGGAGCAGGTATTGCCTGGCAGATTTAAAATTAAATGTGTACCAGCATAAGATCAGAGCTTAGACAAACATGCAGTCACTAAATCAGGTTTACACAGAACTTTACCAGTTAAGCTGTTTGTAGTTTATCTGAGAAAATGCATCCAACTTTGCTATTTAACAGTAAAAAAGCTGACATTTTCCCTACATTTAAATGTCATCAGACAACAGGCTGTCTTCTGCCAACGGATTATCTCATACCTCAGAAGTGTAGACAGCAGTGAACTTAGGGCAATAACAGATGGACAGACAACATAATTCACAAAAGAAGTGCAATTGAATCAAAACACCTGTTGGTGAGGCAGAATGGAGAGGTTGTTGCAGGTTATTGATTCTCTGCCATTTCAGATACTTAAAGGTGACAACTGTCTACCACAGCCTCCTATAATATATCTGTTTTAATGGGTCTTTGAGGATGAATTGAAACAAGAATCAAAGACTCAACATGGAGGTTTCAGAAAATTAAGTGGTTTGAATGAGGAGCATGTAGATATTCCTGCATACTCGATGGTCAAGGTGTCTGGTGAGGTATCTGCTCTCAGCACAGGTGATGTGCTCTCTGGTTTGCCAGCATAGCTTTGAAATGAGATTAAAATGAAACAAAACTCACAATAAATGAAATTTTTCATCTCCCTTCTGAAAATAGATGCTATCTGTAAGTATCTTTTCTCTTCTGGACATTGGTTATCCAGGGTTGAAGGTTAGCAATTTCATTGTTGCTTAATTCTCTAAACAAGTTTACATGAAATGTTAGGCCATATCTATCAAATTTATTTCTATGACTTAAAACTTATTTGGAACGAGGTAGAGTGAAAGTGGACAAAATGTATGGCTTGCCTTAGTAAGAAATTCCAGTGACCTTTACCTTGTGTCAGATAGTTTTTGTCAAGGATCTGCCACTGTCAGTTCTCATAAATACTCAACCAGAGTTGGTCAAACTATGCTTATGCTTTCAAAAACTCTTATCTGCACAAAAATACTGGATACAGATCTGATTTTGGCAAATAAAATCTTGGAGAGTCTGTCCCATTTATTTGTGTACTTGAAGACTGGTGCCGACAAGTCTGTCCCCTTCCTTCCAGTCAGGAGCAAACAGGATGAAGCTGAATGCTTCCTGTAAAAGCTGGGGCAGCAATTCTATCAAGAGAAAGCCAGGCCTTAGAGTAGTGAGCAAGAAATTTGTACCTCATCTGACAGTGGGAATCCACCTCTCCAAGCCTTGAGCAGTGTGCCAGGGAAGTCGTGGGGGTCAGATGGAGAAGAGGTGAAGATGCAATAGCAAAGGAGGAATTAAAAGAATGGATTGATAGGAGGAGTCATATGAATCTTTGTGTAAGAAGAAGAGACCGGAAGTGGTGGGACAGGAAGATGGGAATAGAAGCAGAGGTAAGACACCCCCAAAACTGTCAAACACCATTATCTGAATTGCAGAGTCAAAGACATACAAGTTGACAGTTTTGAGATCCTGGGGCTTGATTTTTCAGGAGGGCAAACACTCATAACCTTACTTGAAATCAGCTAAAGTTTGGCTTTAAATGTATAGTCCTACATAACGTTAATACTTCGGAAAATCAAGCTATAACAATCTTAAATGAGATATAAAAATTGCGATCAGTAACATTTGTAAAGAAAGCTATAGAAAAGCCAATGAGGAAATTCAATTTTGAAAATGGGGTTTGAGTAATGTGCAATAAATGTTGAGGATAATTTAGTTTCTTGAGGTAGAGAAAATTACTATGGGAAGCTCATTTGGATTTGGTACTGATTAATCGGAAGGAAATGGCTAAGATTCTAATGGTGATAGACAATTTGAATTAAAGTCATCACAAAGAAATAGAGTTCATGATTCTTTGGAGAAGGGAAAACTAGCAATATCAGCAGGACAGCTTTAAAAAAAGACAAATTTCAACAAACTCAGCAAATTGCCTGCTACACCTCTGCAGAACATGTTCTATGCAGCCAGGAATGAGGAAGCTCTGGAACCTACCAAGAAAGACCAAAGGTCTCGAGCCCAACTGCACTCTACTTTGCCACTTTCTATCCTGAAACCATTACAATAGCTAGTAGGGCCAGGAGCATAGGGGAACAAGGTGTGCATAGGCCTGTATATGACTTGGGTGTTCAAGCTTTAACATGTGAAGAGAAAACATCTGTTTTTACCTCTTCTCATCATCAGAATTGTTCAGGATCTTGATTCTTTTTTGATGGCCAAATTGTTGTGCAAAAATTAGAAACAAACATATAACTGAGTGTGAATTTAAAGGAATGCCCAAAAGCATAGTACCTGAATCAAGAATGCAGATTAAGTTATAGAAGAATATTAGGTTTCAAAATAGATTGGATAACAGAAACGGATTCAAAGTAAGTAGAAGCCAAATGAAATACATACCCATTACTTACAGAGAAATGAGGGACACACAAAACAGGGAATGTGCAATGCTGCTGTTGTTTCCTGTCTGCAACCAGGAGAGGAATGGACTAAAGAATAAATATTTCAATAAATTTGTTGTTTCCATGTCAGTAGGGCTGTGTGAATAGAGAAAGAAGAAATAAGTAATGTCAGAGCATCTGGCTACTATCTTCTGGGTGAGAAATTGCTAAGTCCTAGAGAACTAAATAAAATGCATGTAATCTCCCCCACACCAAACAAACAAACAAAAACAACAACAAAAGAAAGGTCAAGGAAATCAAGGAAATTATAGATTACTCATCCTAACTTCAATATATATAAAAAAAAAAAACAAGAATTAGTTATTACTTGAGATGTAAACATTTTAAGAATAAGATTATGATAAACTGGCCAGTGTGGTTTTGTTGAGAACAAATCATGCCCGGTAAATTTAATCTCCTCTTTCAACAGCATTCCTGCACTAACTAAGGGAAGTGGTAGATTTTTGACACATTAAACTTTTATTAGAAAGCTAAAGAACAGTGACTCGAATTAAATCACTGTAAATGGGTATTCAGCTGCTTGAAAAATATCTTAGTGAAGATCACTGTGAATAAAGTCTGGCTTCCTCTCCTTTACTGTCCCCTGTTGGATATATTGATACAATCCCCCTAGCTGCCTTCTCTCTGTGTTGAGCAGTCCCAGTTCTCCCAGTCTCTTCCTGTGTGTCAGACACTTCAGTCTCTGCATCATCTTTGTGGCTGTTCACTGAACTCACTCCAGTACATCCACATCCTTCTCATCCTGTGGAATCCAGAACTGGACACAGCACCCAGATGGCTCACCAGTGCTCAGCAGAGGGAAAGGATCCATTGACCTGCTGACACTGCAGCCCAGAATGCTGTCACCCTTTGCTACAAGCGCACATAGCTGCCTCATCATTAACGTGTCTGTCAGGACACCTTGGTCCTTCTCTGCAAAGCTGCTTCTAATCGGTTGGTTGACAGATACCACCACTCTTCAGGATCAAACTGGAATGTGAGCCAAGGAGAGTTCAACAGAAAACTGTTCTTGTCCCAATTCTATTTGGTATTTGTCTGAACAATTCATCTGTCTGAGTAATAGCATTAGTGGATGGTGCTGAGCTGAAGGAGGTAGCAAATAAAATATATTAAGTGATACTGAAATCTTTGAGAAATTTTTCAAAATATGACTGGGGAAGGAAAAATCAATTGCACGAAGACAGAATGGGAAGTAAAGACATCAGTACTGTCTCAGGCAACTCTGGAGATACTATAGACTACAAAACGAATGAAAGTCAACAGTTTGAAATGCTATAACTTGTGTTGGGCTTGTTAAATTCAATGGATGTGTGTGTATACCACCAAAGGTATTGGTATGCTGTGCACTGGTGAGGCTGCAGGTGAGATTCCTTGAGCACTACATTTTAGGAAGGGGATCAGTCAGAGATGACTGAATAGCACCTATGAAGAACTCGGTTTGCTTAGTTTGGAGAAGACTTAGAGTGGATACAAGCCCCTAGCATTTCATAAAGACTATTTATTCATCAGACAATGGGAATAACATTTGTTATGTCTAGTGGACAGAAGATTAAAAAAAGCTTGGCTTGGTTTATAGAAGGGATGATTTGTATTCGATTATAGGAAAAGCTTCTCCACAAGTAGTGGGCCCGTCATCTGAAAGGAGACTGTAGGAAGCTGTAGGGCTGCTTTGGGTGGTGGAAGTGAAAGAACTAGGAGGGGGATTGCCCTGGGTGTGCTTATCTTGCCTCAGGGTAGGGTACTGGGGTGAGCAACCTTTGGTGCCTCCCGCTAAGCCCTTCTGTGGTGATTGCACAGTGATAGCAGTGATAGCACACGTGTGAGTGAAGGCTTGTATAGCTGATATTTTTGGAGCCAAACATTTTCATTGGACCTGTACTTGCACTTTGTGTCTACGGCGTGATGTTTCTCTTCTGCTCTAAAGCACTGTGATCTTGCTGCTGCAGCCTTGTCCTTATCTTGGGCTCAAAAATAATTCTCATGTAACTGGGTTAGTTTACAGACCACTATTCACTCTTAGACAAATCCAATGAAGTCCAATGTCATAAGACAGGTTTTTCTGGTCTGGAATATTTAAGTTCTATTGAGACCCCTTTTCCATTTTGCAGTTGCTGATGTACACAGCAGTTACACCAGCTCTCAGATACTACATGTACGTCCCTCTTACACAGTCAAGGATTGTGTTTGCTTTAGCTATCAGGTCACACTGGCGTAGATCCTTGCCTTGTCTCTCGAACTGCATTCTGTACCACAGATTATGAACTGTGTTTCCAGATGCATTGACCTTGTGCGTTATTCAGGGTAAGCAGAGAATTAGCCTCTGTTGGTTGCGATGGTTTTTTTATCAGGAAGTTATCACCTATAATTTCTAGACACAGACAGATGGAAGCAGCCTGAGACCACCATAATATGTTTTCAAGAACAAAATATTCCATTGTAACAGGTTTCTTTTTCTTTTTTTCTTTTTTTCTTGTTTTCTTTTTTTTTTTTTTTTCCCTTGCTCAGGTGTTTAAGCATTTGCTCATAGCTATTTTCTTGTCTGATTTGATGTTCTGTAAAAAAGCCATTTCTGATGCATCTCTTAAGCTGTTAAATTATCAACCTTCCAGGTGCTGCTCTGCTGAACTATTTGTAATTTTAAAGCTTTTGATCCAATGTACCATTCCCTCACTTCTTTGTCAGGGGTCATGAGAGCCAGAGGGCTCACAATTTCAGAATATAAATGTAACGTGAGGATGTTTTTAGCCAAGACAGCTAGATCACTAACAGAGGTTGCCAACTGTGTCTGGAAACCATTTTTTTCTTTGTTTTACAGGCAATGCTACAGCAGTTAAGCAATCCCGGTATAGGATTATAATTCAGGATGCTGCCAATGGGGGACATGCATGCCCAGACACCTTGTATGAAGAAAGAGAATGTGAAGATATTCCCATCTGTCCAGTGTATAGGTAAAAAAGATTAGCTTTGAATCAGTTTCTTGCTAGTGGGTTTCCAGTTCTCTGGAAAGTAATCTTGTTGGATCATCCTGCACAATTTTCACTGGAAAATGACATAGAACTGGAAAATGCAAGGTTATAATAATAACACAATTAGTAATAACAATACGTAAATAGTAATTTTTGCAAAATACGTACAAGTAGAGATCAAGTTGAAGTTTTGAAATTATCTGGCTTCATCAGAATGAGCACCAACAGACACAGCTCCTGAAAACGGTAACTTCAGGGTCTGAAGTATTTAAGGATAGTTTTACTGGGAACTCCCCCCTCAATGTACCTAAAAATCAATGCAAGCTATTTTGGTACCACAGGCACTCAACTGCCTTAATCATAATTGTATGCTTATTGCAGAAACAGTCTTCTCCCCTGATGCTCTCACTCCAGTGAATAATATGCACTTTAAAAATTTCTGATTAGACAAATAGTACAATAGGGCAATTACTCACCACTCTCATTAAAATTCTATGACCCATCTGTTACACAATGTTAGTAAATAGAAATGTATTATATCTTTGCATATAAATCTTCAAACCACACATCCAGTAGCACATAGACTCAGAGCAGAGCAGGCAACTGAACATGGGGACAAAGCAGGAGCCAAAACATTCGGCTCTGCATGGCACTGTACTGCACAGCACTATAGAAAGCTACTGTCTTGCATTCCTGGCTGACACACGTCATGGCACAGAAAGCAGCAGATTGTGTAAAGCATCAGACATGTGAGAATGGGGTTGCAGGAAGAGAGTCTGATTTCAAAGCTCACTGAATCTGTTGTTTATTTTGTGACTTTGAGTTACACCTCCAAGAAATAAAAGGAAATATGGTGGAAGGATGGTGTGGCTTTCTAGAAGGTGAGCCTTATGTCTGAATTTCAGTTCACAATGCTTATTTCAGGTCTGATTAAAGATTTTGTTGTTGTTGTTGCTGTTTTTCCTTGAGTCTCTGCAGTATATCATCATTTGTATCTCAGCTTTCAGAAGTTTTTGTCTGGACCTATGAATTGTTTTCCAATTTTAGCTACTTAAGTGTTGACCTTTTCATCTCGTAGGTGGAAGACCCATCGATGGAGTCACTGTATACTGGTACCAGATTCAGTGAGACAGGGTGTGCTGGGATATAATGAGGCGTGTGGACATGGTTTGCAGTCAAGGGGTAAGCTTTTTCTATGCAACCTTGAAATATTTAAGGCGATGGAAGGTGACATTTAAGAAGGGTCTTTACAATTTTACAGTAGCCCATTTGGAAACAGTGACTTCAAGGGTAAAATAAAGTGTTTTGGGAAGTAGATTCATTATATAGCTTTGCTGCTGTACTGAAAGCTAAAGTACCAGTAACATGATAGTTTACTAGGAGTACAGGGATGGCTTTATGCTGGGTATTCATGTATCCGTACAGTAAGTACCCTTGTTCTTCTGCCTAAAGATGAAGTATGTGGGCTTTGAAAGAACTATCTATCTATAGATCTCTGTGAAGTAATCCATTCTTGGCACTAAAAATGGAAAGGATAATTTCCTCATGATTTTAAATTTTGCTAATAATTTGCCTGAGGCCTGATTTTTACTAGGACTATTTGAGGAGTTCAGTGTGGGTAAAGGCTTTGGGCTCCTGCCCTTTGTGTGATTAAGCACTTGGAAAATACAGTGATCCAATTGTCTGAACAAAAGCGTTAAGAAGAATTTCACTATTCAGAGTATGTGATCGGAGTCTGTAGCAGTTCCTGCAGATGGCTTGAGATGTGGCTGTTATCAGTCTGCTGAAAAATCTAATAAAACCTTTAACAAAAGGTTATTTTTATTGAAAAAAGATTACTATACAGGTATGCTAACTGAAGAAACTTGACATAATAATTTACTCCTTCACAAGGTTAGAAACTATTCTTTAAAGATGAACTGAATTTCTTACATAATCTGGAAACAAAGGAAAAGAAAGAGAAGCCCTGACAGTATGTGGGCTGCATCTGAAAGAATAAATGTTTTAAACTACAATTCAAAGGAGTAAATAACTTTAGGTAGGTTTTGACCACAAGCCTATGCATACGGTTTTCAAAGAGAACTCTGTAAATTGAGATGTCATAAAATGTATTCCTGAATCTCCATGTGAAGGGAAGGTAATCTTCAGTAAGTGCATGAACTTTTTATTAATCTTATTCTTACAGAATTTGAAGAATAATAGAAAAGTATTTTGCTTATTTTTGCTCTGTGGAGAGCCCTCCAGCAATTAAGGAGGCTATGTAGTGTTTTGGGGTAATCATGGGAAAGGAATCTTACAGCCTGGTGGGTTTAAGCAAATTTTGCTTCAGTGCCAGGTTCACTTTTTATAATTAGCTGAAGTTTTCACAACAGCTCCGATTTTCATAATTGCGTGATGTGATAGAACCAATCTGCTAGGCACTACTGAGAATGAATGAAGTTTCAGGAAAATGAGTTTTCAGATGAAATGCATGGAAGATTTTTGAGACATCTCAAAACAAGAAAACTCCTACAAACAAGAGGAGTGATGTCTGCGGAGCAGGCAGCTGAAACCAAGCTGCTAACTGATGAAGTCGCTTCTGAAAAACAAGCTGGTGGACTTTCGGTGATTCTGCACCTGATCTGTAAAAGTGTTTAGTAAGGGAAACTTTCAAAAATCTTATGTTTGAACCTTGTCTTGCTACCTGAACTTTTCAAGAGCAGCTAGCATGTGTGAAGAGATGCTGTGTTAACAAACTGTCATGGAGTAGCCATTTAGACAAAGGTGGCACATGCTTACACACCCTGCAGGATGTCTTCCAGCGTGTAGACCTCAGCGCTGGAGGACTTCTGAATTTATCATTCTTCAGTATGAAGGCAGCCTTTGGAGGTTTTTTGAAATAATATATGAGGCAAGTCCAGAGAGTTGGCTTTGTTCAACCTGGAAAATGGGAGTGGGGATGCAGTCACACTTCTTCCAGAAGGGCATAATGAAAAAACAGAAGAAACTATCATAAGTTGTCCCAGATTGCCTAGGAAGGCTGCAGGTGCATTGGAGATGCTTAAAACTCAATTGAATAAGGACCTGAGCAATCTTTTCCAACTTTTAGGTCCGTCCTGCTTTGAGAAGGCGTTGGACCTCCAGATGTCCCTTCCACCCCAAATTATATAGTATGATTGTGTCAGTCTATAGAAATCTCTTGAGGATAAACTGTGCCATCAGTGTAAGAACTCTAGGTGTTATAGTTTTATGCTGTCCTTCAATATTCATGTATCCTATGACAGCTTGCATTTGAGTCATCACCAGTATTCTACACAGTAACTGGCTTGCATAGTGTGTCAGTCTTTAGCTAGTAAATGCTTATTCTTCAAAGAATATTTATATGAATTTGCCCAACCTCTTTTTTACTATACAACAGCTATTACCCTTTTAGCACTGAAGATAATCAGGCACAGAACATCCACTTTAGAATTTTTTTTCTTTCATTGTCCATGTCCTGACTGTCATGTAAATAAGAGGATTTCAGTTTTCAGTGACTGTCAGGTCTGTCTAATTATAAAGGCATTGAATTAATATCAATTATTTCTAAAGAAAGAGTGTGGATGTGTATATGTTTAGAATATATTTAAAATATAACTGGGACTCTGATGAGGGAAAAGTAAGTCTGAAATGGCTTTCAAGCTCCATTCTTATGGTAGATTCTGAGATAGATACTTACAGATCTTGTTCCATGAGTGTTTTCACTCAAATGGCACATGTAACATGCTGAAGATACTGGGATTTATTTGAGTAATGAACAGAATAGCCAAGGAGATGATGCCTCTCTGAAGCTGCAGTTTTCACAGCTTTATCTTGGAATGATGTTGCACTAATTAAAACAGCCTTTCATTTTGTGTATCACCTTCAGTAGACTAACTTATTCAGAAAACAGTCAGGCAGGTAAGAGGAAAATAGTGTTTAGAGCTAAGAAAAATACTTGTTATTTAAACTTCATTAAGGCATTATTTGCAAAAGAACGTCAGATGGGACACTTGAGAATAAAACAGGGTGGGGATATTACAGTTGCTTGACAGTGACATAGACAACATTTCTAACAATAAATGAAGAGCTTTACAAGCTTTTCTATTGCTATATAGCTGTCATTTTCCTCGACAAGTGACTAATTTACTAGAAGGTGTCAAGACTGTGAGAAAATTGCTTCTGCTTCAGATGCCCTTTGGTGACTTTACTGTTCTCTGATGTTTGTGATGGAAGATCCTCCAGAAATGACCTCTCTCTTCAATGCTGACATGTTCAGCCATCTTAGACATTCACATTTTTGGGGGGAAAAAATGTGTTGCTCATTACAAGGGATTGTTAACATTTAATTAGTGGATGGAAAGCCTGCTTTAAGCAAGTGTCTTTGAAGGCTGCTTCAAAAGCTATTGGATGAAGTAAATGGACATGTATTGAAAACCAGACTGATGTAATGAGGCTTGGCTTTAAAAAAAATAGTATTGGAAATACCTGACAACATGGTTATGAAAAAAGTAGTTACTTTCCAAAAGCAGGGAGAAGCTGCAGTGATGGAATATGTCACATCTTATTTTTTCCTGTTCCTGCCACATCTTAATAGTGATTCATTTGAGGGATTTGACCATATCTCTGCCCATTAAAAGAAGGGATATGTCCATCTCTGAGCTGTAAGTCCCAGTTGGAAGAATATGGAAGTGCAATGACACGAAGCAGAAAATTAACACAAAAGCAAATATTCTTAGAGAATAATTTATTGATTTGTGTACAGTAAAACAACAACAAAGCCACCAATGCCATAATGAGAAACTATTACTCTGCTTTGGAAGAAGTGCACTCTCCCTGGCTAACCTGAGGTGACGGTGTGGACTAATACTGGATGGCTTCCTTGTGCTTCTTAGAACATTTTTTTCTGGTATGCTGTACTGTCAGACCTTGTATGATGTATTTCTTTTGTCCATTAACAAGGTTGTAAATTCATACCACATCGGATTTGCTAAGATAGTTGGTGATATAGATATAATCTATTTCAGTACAAAAGTTGATATATGAATTGGCAGTGAAAAATCGGGAATGCAGGAATCACTGGGCTCAAGGAATTTAGGATTCCTTTCTCCTTAATTGCAGGTTTCTGCAAACTCATTTGGAGTTTGCATTTTGTAGTCCATCCAACATTAGCTTTACCTGGTAGAACATTGGCAACTTGAGCCTTATTCTGGGTGATACTGAGGATTTGATATGTTTGTCATTATATATTTCTATTTTTGTTTGTTTATTTTTCCTGATGATGCTGGTCTAGGGACACAATGGTAATTGGTGGTTGCGGGGAAATGACTGGGAGTGTGGACTCGGGAGCACAGCAAGCAGAACGTGAGTGGTCTTGGCCAACATCACTGTCTGGAAGACACCTGCTTGTCAGCTGGTAGCACTGATAGCATATAGCTGAGGGAGAAATAATTACCAGGGTAAGGACAGGAGCTGGGTTTTGTTAGTGATGTATTTGAAAGGGTTTGTGAAGTGAAGTCTGTCTAGGATCAACATTCAGGGGTAGTCTTTCCAGGATGCTATCAGTTGCATCTCTGCAACTTCGCCAATGTAGCCATTCTGCGTCATACTGCAAATTCATGCAGTACATGTTATCTGTATTTTTATTTCCTTGTCACTGATACTGCAATTTGCAGCTTACAAACACATGGGGAGTAATAAGGTGATAAGAAGCAACCAAAATAGAATAGATTTACTATTATTTGTTCTTGATAATCTGATTTCTTTCCTTGGCAAGGTGGCTTGCTGAGGGTTGGCAGTAAGGTAAGTGGGAAGCAGGACATATTTCCTTGACTTTAGGAAGACTTTGAGTCCAGTCCTATGTGATAGTCTCCCACAGGGTATTCAAGTTCAGAAATTCAAGTTGGATAAATTGGAGAATGCTCTGAAATCAGTACGACCTAGAGAAATGCACGATGAGGTGGTTGTGCAAAAATAATTTCAAAGCTCTGTTATCAGCTGTTTGCTGTCAACCAGGAAGGCCATTTCAGATGTCATCACACCTGCCACATGTACTCTCGGCTGCCTTCACTGTTTTCACTAACAGTGTGTATAATGAAATAGAGAGTACAAGTATAACACATCTAGGTAATCACAAATTGCAGGTTGTGAATACTTTGAACTGCAAGCCAAAAAAATCAAGTTGG